TCCTTCCTTTTAAGTTATCCTTCCAACACGTGAGGAGGACGAGCCCTAGCCCTAAACCTGGACCTTTGGATCAAGAGAAGGAGATAAAAATAAAATTGATAAAACTGAATATCTTGCATCCGGAGCCAATAAGCGCGAGTTTCGCAATCACGCCTCCCTGATCCTTGCTAAGGGTCTCTACTCTGGTCTGTCGGAATTGTAAGTGAAAAATTGCTAAAATTGTTAGAAGCGAAAGAACTTTAATCGTTAATTCTAGCTCGTGCTTTAAAAATCGACAAAAGTTCAAACTGCCCGCATGTTTGCCTTTATTTGTTATCTCTATACACAAATGAAACTGCCTCAATTGAAACTGCTGTTCAATTTGAATTATTTGTTTCATTTGTTTGCTCGGCCCCACTAGCACTTTTGCTATAAACATTGCCGAGGGTAAATAAAGGTTATATTTTATTTTTCTCCGAAAAAAAATTTCTTAAAGAAAACGTACTGATAAACTATTTTCCCACCATGACTTTTTTCTCTTATTCAAAACAGAGATTCAGTTATATCTCTCTGTGATATCCTTTACTTTCTTTCCTCCACGTTATTCTCGTTCTTAATTGTAACAGTAAGTTTCTGCGTGCGAGATGGATTCTGAAACGTTCAGGTCGGCGCTAACCGATGAATTTTGACAAAACGACTTGTTTTGCACCAAAATATAATTAAGCAAAGTTGAATGCTGATTGGAAGCCGTTGATGACCTTATTCTCTTTCATTCACTTAAGCTCCACTAGGTCGGGATTTTTTGCTGATTGTTTGTGTCTAAGAATTTAATGATATTAAATAACCCTTGGAACAATATCCCTCGCCCTGGAACATGGTGGATGATGCGCAGTCAAAGTTGATGTGAAAAGATCGCTATTTAAAATCATTTTACAATAGGGCTGGTGTATGATACGCACTTTTACTGTCAGGAAATTTCAGGTAAAAGATGTGGAATACTTGATTCAATTTAGGCAGTGATGTAAAGGAGTCTTGAGGGAATGCGAATCGATGTGCAAAATCAAACCCCGTTTTGTTTTGAGTAATTCAAAAGGTTTACATCTCACTTATTATTTCGGCTTCAGTGAAAGGTTTCTTTTTGTTGGATATCTTATTTTTAAACAACAACCAGTGCCAAGCAATCGGACTGGACCTAAACAGCACTGAATCACTTGGAATCCAAAGAAAACGCTCTTGGAAATAAGAAACTAGCCAGCTTGCGGAATTACAAATCTGGAATTCCGACAATATTTGGTTTTCAACAGTTTCTACTCTTGTCTGAACTTGTCCTCGTTAAAATTCATGGTTGTTTTTGATCTACTTTCCGACAACAAAAGCGAAAAAAAGGGTTAAACAATAGTTCCCAAACTTCTTAGTACATACAGGAAAAGGCCTTTGTTTCCGTCTCATTTGGCTTGTGGGTGTTGTTGTGGGTGTGTTAAAATCACATGACAAAACACTGCTCCTTTGTACGACCCCTTGTGCGACCTCGAAATAAAGAAAATGAAAAGGCAATAAGCCAACTTTGAAACGGTCCGGTCTGAAAAACGCCATTGTTTCGAAACTAATTTGCGACGGTGGAACAATGATATGTAATGCTCTAAAAACCGCAACTTGAGCGAGGGAGCTGAATACAGCGAGCGGTTAACCGCGTATCCTGCATGCGATTACAATTTGCCAATGGCTATTTTTATTACGTTTAATGGCCTAGGTCCAGAATTGTTTGAAAATATCAACAAGTTATGACTAATTCAACGACTGGCTCAGCTCAACTCTGTCTTGTTCCTACGGACAATGCAAAACAAAAGAAAAGCATTCGGCAAAATGCGGCAACGGCCTCAAGAAATATTGAAACGGACGAAAGTTTCGTGGGAGGCAATATCGGTGGAAAAAAACAAGGTACGTTCGATATTGGCAAAGTGTAGTCTCTTGTATTTGTCGATTTTTACCAAGATTTACATCCTTGCAAAGTACGATAAAATGATAAATGGTTTTAAATATGCACAGCGTTTGCAAATTTGCAGTGAGCGTGAAGGAAGATAGGTCAATTTCCAGCACAGAAAGTTGACAAAATTCCTCGACGGGACACCAAATGAAATGTCACGTCCGTAAAGTCAGACACGCACGTACTTTATTTGTATCGCGTGTGCTCTGAAGAGTCATCAATAAAAAAAAAAACCTTGTAAAAAACGCTTGGAAAAGATGATCTTGCAACAAACACATCAGCGCAAATGGTTTAAAACATTCTTTCTTTCCTCCTTTTTTCAAGGAAGCGAAAAAACAACTTTAAATGCGCTCTAATCAGTGAAATTAATCTCGGTCACCAAATGTGATAGAACAACTTAGCTTTGTATTCGAATCAACCTATCAGCTTCAAGATCAGACATTTAATTACCTTTCTTGCTTTGTATGTTGTTTTTCCGAAATATCACAAGTCTTTTGTCTTATGGATGCAGAATAACAAAGCGTCCGTATTCAAAGTGATTTCTTTGTTCCAATGATCATGAATATTCCAGACTATTCTTCTATTCTCATCGACTTGGCTTTGGCCCTTGCCGTCATCTGGGCTTTGAGCCCTTGAGTCAATAACGTCAATTAATTATTGTTACATGAACCAATCAGAACGTGAGATTTTAATCGGAACGTGCTAGGTGTGGTATTGTAGATGAGCTACTGTCATGACGTCACAGAGCTTTTCAAAGCGTATAAAGCCTTGACGAACAAGTGGTTTTCCGTGCTTCTTGTTCTTGCACGGGCTAGGGAAGGTTTTCGAAAGTGGGAGCAGAATTGAACAAGCTGATTTTAAGCAAGATGTGCAAAGGAAACACAACAATGCCTAGTTCTAGCCTGGTAAGTGACTGCTTTCGATTGAAGTTCAATTTAAAATCCGCGGTGGTTTGACTAAGTTCCATCTGAAATTGTCAGTCGATGAACAGAGCGTAGATTACGGTCGCTCGCTCGCTTCTTGTTCCACGCTACAGTTCGATCCCTGATGATCGGTTTAAGCGAAGATCACAGTCATGTTCAAAGTAAAAATCTTCAGCTGCTAAGAATTAGCGATTCGATTCGTTAGTAACGATATGCGAGAAGAAACCTGGAAGTTAGAACTCGAAGCTTCAGCGATGACATGGTCGATTTAAAAAGTGCTTTATTAGCACCTTCGATTCGCAAAATTGATGCGCTTGCAATTTCTTCATGCGTTTTGCCAGCTGAGCTGTTTTTCTGTTCATATTTTCGCTTCA